ATTATTTCATTCCATGTGCCTCGACACATGAACCTGACCAACAACGTAAGACTAATACACACCACATCTTAATTCTGGAAGGAGCACTGCATGGCTATAAAAAGGAACAACAAAAAAGAGAAAACACCCACGAGGGAAAATAGAGTGACAAAACCCTCACGCCGAAAAGGTTTCAACAATGTCTCATCTCATATAAGGCCATTAAGATGTTCCTGAACTGCCCTCGAAGTGAAAAAAAAACTTGGCTATATCTGTGTTACGCTTTTCTGTCGGCTTCTTTCTCACTGGTGTGTTATTCAGCATCTCTGAATTTTCACCGTCCACAAATCATCTTAGCCGTTGTCCCCTAGAGATGAAATAAGCTAAACTTCGTAGAAGGATGGGTCATCGAATCATTCTCTTTCCCCCCCCCCCTTCCCCGCTGTCAGGTGTCGCACCACTTGTAATAAGATACTCAACTTCAACACTTCGAGTGACACGGTCATGGGCGCATCTCTTCTGCTTACTCACCATTCCAGCTATATGGCCCCTTACTGCCATAGCCGCTCGTATTCTCGGACTATAATACGAATTCGATATATTACACTGGTTTGTAGTAATGGGTAAGCTTACCAGTTGTTACTGTATGTCATCCGAATTTAGAATAACTGTCGTGTAATATCTCCGATTGCAGATGGGCCCGCGCGTGGTTGTAGTGGTGGCCGACTAGTATCCCTAGGTGTGAGTCCTTAGGTACTTGAGATTCTCTTATGGTCGTAAACCCAAGCCACGCCCCCATCTACTGTCGATCCGTCTTCTGATCGAGCTGATCAGTCAGTCTGGAGTTTTGCCGAGCTCACGGGATGTGAGCAGATCGGTCTCTCTCGGAAAACGAGAGGGGAGTTTCCCGAGATCGTTGTGTACGATTAGGCGATTAACTCTACGTGCTAGAGGGCTCCCCCTGACTCCGAAGCGTCGCCCGATGCGAGCTTCGTTCTCTTCACACCAGAGTTGAAGAGTGGATCTTTCCCCGTGTGGAAAGCAGTTGTGCAGTAGTTCGTACAAGACGACTACAGATGCACGTTGGCCTAAGCGTGGCTCACGCGATGGTCGCCCTTCTGTGTTCAGAAGGAAGTGTACCATTGAACATCCTCAGCGAGAAGATGGTTCAATCATGATGGCAGGTAAATTGCGGAGAGTCCCCGTTCCCTAGCTTGGTTGAAGCCTAGAATCTACCGTAGTAGATTCTAGCACCTTTTGTATGTATATTGATTGGCTCATTGCCAATCATCATATAGTTGATTGGCTCATTGCCAATCATCATTTTGTATATAGATGCAAATAAATGGTTAATTACGAAAGTGTGTTGTTTTGTAATTGGGTACGGTCAATCGTCACAGCTGTTACATAACACCCACTACTGTCACGAAACTTTGGAGCTCTTGCGCGGTTCCAACAGGTTGAATACTCTACTTGATCCGATGCTACATGTGCTGTTAACTACAGCGCAGTATTTTGGGCTAACCTGGCAGTGGGAAGCATGGCGTGCAACCCTTCTTAGTGCCTTCTACATATTTCATCTTGATTCGACTTAAATTTGTACACAGTGACGCCTATACCTTGGTAAACGGATTTAGCTTATACCGGTTATTCCTCGGTGTAAGTTGTGAGTAACCCTTAGACGCTAGCAAGCCATACACCCTTGTCAAGGTGGCACTGCTTGTGAGGAGACTAGTGAGAAAAGTGGATCTGAACTAAGCTGTACTGGGATTAGAGAGTTACTGTTTTCTATCCAGCGATTCATTGTATGGGGGGATTACGAATTCTTTACATGGGTGAAAAGATCGTACGCGCTTGCTCGAAAAGAGACTTGCTCGTGTCCCACAATTATCTCGCGACCCCATGAATGTCATGGTAGACATTTCAGAGCAATCTCCCGCGTAGTGATCCGAATTTCAACCTCTAAATTCATGAATACCATTTTCGCCTTGCGCCCCGTCTTACAGGGTGTTTAACGTTTTTTTTCTTTCCTTTCTGCCTTTCACTCAGCTGAACCATCATTTCAGTTGCATCATAATCCCCTAGCATGTTTCAAAGGAAAATAGAAAAGTGACTGAGGTATTGCTGTTTGCCATTTACATACTTTACTTAAAAAATTCCTCACTGGTACAGGTTCCTGATTTTTAAAAACTTTTGGAACCAGCTGGCTGGAAATAGGCGTGATTTCGACATCCACATCCCATTCATCAATCAGTGCTGCTATTTTTGAGGAGAATGAAATTAATGAAAATCCACAATTTAGGCGGCGGTCGCTTGCCCGACGATTTTATCGCAAATCGCGCATTGATAAGGGACGAGTAGCGCTCACACGGCCTGATGCATGAGTTCGCGGCTAGGATATTGGACAAGTAAGTAGTTTTTCTCTCCTAGCAATGATAGTGCGAATGCGTGTTCGTGTTTTACAACTGTTAAATAGCGTAAAAAGTGCATCATAGAACGGTAGGGATGTAATTTTGGTACCGATTGTGCAATTCCATCTAAGCCATAAGTCTCTCCGTCAAGTGGATTTACTGTGCCCTCGTTTCAATGCAGAGTTCTCGGATCGTTGATTTGTGTGGTCAATTTGTAATCTTCTTCTCCATAGAAAGAGTTTGCCCTGTTTAATTGCATGCTGACTTGTGCTCGTTCAATAAAGTTTCGTTTTTTTTTCCTTCCATCTATGCTCACTGTTCCTCAGTATTTTTTTCAATGGTTTTTTCTCAGGGCATTATTTTCGCTTGACATTTTGAGTACCTAAATATTTAAACTGATCGTAACTCCTTTTTTTCAGCTGAATGTGATCTGTTCCGGTAACACAGATCTTATCCTAAGTCATGACCGTTTTTTTTTTTGTCCCCCCCCCCCCCCGTAACAACAGACCTGATGTTCGTGCCTTTTTATGGCAGCGGAAAATGAGCGGTAGCGAGGACTACTTTGTCCACCATACAGCTTTATGACTTGGTGGCGATCATACAGGCTCACGAGCGTGTTCAAGCATTTTTCCTACTGTTACGATCAACACTGAGGAGCATCAACCCCTTTAATTTCAAAATAATTCCAAAAATCTACAAGGGTCCATATTCTTTGAAAAAGCATGCTAAAAAATCAAAAAGAATTGCTTCGAAAACCCGCGATATCTCGGTGTTTTGGTTTCAATCGTAAGAATCGACTGAAAATGTTATACACCGAAATATTGCGGAGGTTTCCAATGGAATACTTTTTAATTTTTTGGCTTGTTTTTTGGAGCATTTGGACTCTTGTGAACTTTTGGGGTAAAACTTTTGGTGCCTCTCTGTGTTAGGCCGCTTTCATAGTCAGCGCCGTCCGCACGGTCCGTGCGGATCGCACGGACAGTGCGAAGAGCGTCAACACCTACACTGGCGCATGACGCGCAAGGCGTCGACCCTGCGCCAAGTACGCGTTGTGCGCCAGAGCGCGTGTTGACGCTCTTCGCACTGTCCGTGCGGTCCGCACGGACCGTGCGGACGGCGTCCGCGGACGGCGCAGACTATGAAAGCAGCCTTATACAAATTTAGGTTCTGATGAGGCTCCAGGACAGCACAATACTAATAGATCTTTCCATGGTAAACAATCTTTCATCTCTGAAAATGTTACGTGCTGAGTACCACTGTTTAGGTAGCTTCTCGGAGCTGTAATTCTGTCGGAGTCAAACATATCTAAAGTTCCCGCATTTTTTTCCTTATGGGGATTCTGCTTTTTCAACAACTTCGTTTTGTTCAATTTTGAGGCCTTTAAAATAATTCTAATGGCAAGCAACAATATTTTCTAGGAGTATCGTTCCGCCTTTTCCCATAAACAGAACAGCTGGCCGGGGCACTCGCATTTTTAATAAAGAGAATATCTCATTTGAGAAGAATGCTATTGACTTGCCAAGCTCTTTACTGATGACTGCGATGCTTTGGGCGTTCGTCCAGATCGACAGAGAACGTTGAAGGCTTCATTTCAGAAAGATGAACACCGGTAAACATGCATAGGGTAGGAAGATAAAACGGTACACCCACGATTACACATTACTCTAAAGCATCTGGTTTTCCTGGAAACCCCTTCGTTTTCTTTGAATCGCATACGGCGAAGCGCGCTCTGAGGTCAGAGTCACAATTCTAAACGTCTTTTACACATGGAAAATCGTAATCAAGTTTCACTGAATCTTACAAGTTTAGGTAACTTGTGAGCCTTGTCTCGCAGTAAGGTTTGCCTATGTAGGTTGTAGAAGTGGATGAAGGTGCAGACAAACAGCCCTAGGTGTATCCTTAGCTATTTGAGGTTTAATCTCACAGATCATAAGTTTTGGTCACACCCGCATTGTGTGATGATCCGGTTCCGGAGTGTTTTGATCGCTCATGTTTTGAGACATGGAGAGTGAGAATCCGTTTTAATTGGAGCGTTTTTAGTGTTGTGCGCTCACGTGTTGTAGACTTACAGTGGAGAACCTACTCTGGTTAATGAGTACTCTCGCTTGCGGAGAGTCGTCGTGGCATTGTTCGGCGACACTGGTCTGAAGTGTGATTTAGCGTTGATTGCACCTTCGTTCTTAATGAAAGTAACCACTAAAAGTCTTAAAGCACATCCCAGATCGAATTGCTGAGTAAGCGGTTTGAAATAGTGGGAGAAAAAGAAGGGGCGGAAAAATGACAATTTATGCATTTGTGAACCCAACCACATTATTGCGGTGAGGCTACCATATCTATCTATCTACCTATCGGCTACCTCATCGGCCGTCGTAATCCTCGTGAGGCGAGCGCGAGGAAATCCTCGTAAGTAAGTTAATAAAGCCCCCCCAGCACCATTGTCGCACACTTTGCGTGCTACTCTTTAAAACAGAGGAACAGATTCTTTGGCTCGATCCTGCTGGGGTCGTTGTTTCAAGTAAGACGATTATTTCAGTATCAAAAAATGGCAGGTGATTTGTGAAACTAGACTCCAAGCTTTCTGATTCATTTTTGAAAAACATATATTACAGGTCGGATACGCGATATCCGAATTCGAATGAGGCCTACACCCAGCAGCTTATCGAGATTATAAAGAAGCCTGGGCAGTCGCTGCTTTACCTGAGGAGGAATGCGTGACAGAAGTCACGGTGTATTGCTAGCCGCTTTGGAGAGACTCTGACACTGGAGAAGTAAGTCGTACGCTCTCCCTTAATCTTTTTCGCCACAGCTTTACCTGCCAAGTCGTCTTATTTTTCTTTCCAGGCTCTCACATTTCTTTCAGTTCCACATACGACTTCCACCGGCCTCTTCTGTCCTATGCATTTTTCAATTCTCCGTAATGCCTAATATATGTTAAAACAACCTTCGGACCGCAGGAGTGTGTTGGCGAGGGGGGATGTACGATCTAAGAATTTTAAGTTTTTCGTGGCCGTTTTTCTAGAATCATGATTTAGGAGAGAGAAAGGTTGATTCTGTAATCACCTGTTCCCTGTGTGAATCAAAGCATTACAATGCCGAGTCAGATCTTGCGTATTGGAGCGCACTAGGGTCAGATTTATCGCGCGACATCGCGGCGATTCGCGCGCCCGCATCGCGGATGGGCGCGGCGATTGACATGACCCAATCGCTCAATCCGAGAGTCTGCCATGGCCAATAGGCTTAACGAAGCAAGAGCCGTGTCTCTCTATCCATCTAGGTTAATTTACGCCGAAACTTCTTGATGAGGTCGACACAAAATAGCAACACTCCATTTGTACATTTGGAACACTGAATATGAAACAAGTGGAGGCAAACAGTCCTCATTCAACCATCACCATCAAGCAGAAACGGCGACGGGATTGCAGAAGTATGCGATTGATCGCGCGTAGCGTGAGCCGCGACATCTGGCACCAGTTATTACGCTTTTTGTGCACGTGTGCTGTTCGGTGTTTTGCGTGAAAATATTTCCGCTGCTTGTATAGCTTCCATTTATCCGAACTTGTCAACTTGGTTTCATGCTGAAGTAGTCTAACGAATTGTGTTGCAGATACGGTGACGTAATTCGACCTGGCGATGAGATTCTCTCCATCAATAATGTCGAGGTCTCGTCCATGTCCATAGACGATGTCGTGCTAATACTGAGTATTCCGCGAAGGCTTTTGCTGCGGATACGGTAACTATGTTTCCGAAACCTTTTTAGGATATTTTTATATCAATCTTGATAAAGCCAGTGAATTAGGAAAAACAGAGTCAAGTAAGTGGTTGAAAAATCAATTCCTCCTGTTCCTTCTTGCTTTAACTTCAGTTTCTGCTTTTGAAGATATGTGAAACACCGTCGAGATCAGCAAGCAACCACGAAGTCATCCGAGCGTCCAGTTGTCGTCTTTCATAAGGTATATTAGTCACTCCTCCTTTACTTCTTGCGCGTCTCGGTTACTTTTTAACGTTGTCTTGTTGTTTTTATTATTCTTTTACAAGTCTGAAAATCTGACAAATTGTTTTTCTGTAATTTTCGCCAAGCGCGGTGGAGGTTTTTCTTGGAAACTCAGATTTCACGGGAAAGGCTTGTGGTGTTTGATTGCATGAGCATGCAGAGATGTCAGAAATACGATATCATGAGTGCCCAATGGTTGTTTTCTCAATGATACACGAGAACACCTTTGAAATATTGACATAAAGCAGAGAAGTTATTTTTTTCATGAGCGCATAGGGGAGTTATGAATAATTTCCGTGTTCGCTACACCGTCATTAGCTCATTTCCCACTTCTGCAAAATCTGTAGATAAATTAAATTGGCAGCTAACGTGAAGTAAATCTCAGCTTATTGTCCCAAGCGGAGCCTTTTCCGTTTAGTTATGGTATCTCTCGTGGCATGGAATGTTGTGTAATGCAAATTTTGCTCCACCGTTTTGGCTGGTTATTAATAAGTTGATTGTGGCATTTTGCTCTCATTATTGTAGTTTTCATCTTCGCCTCCTCTGCAGGCGGTCGGCGTTGCGACACTAGTGGGCGAACAGCTCACTATTGGACGAGTCTGAGTTCACTTTATACATGTATGTATGTGTATGTACTAAGCGGAAACAATAGAAGGGCAGATGTCAGGGTTTGCGAATTGCAGTTGCGATTCTGACGCCATGCCACACGTGCCGCATAAGGTACGCAAGCTACACTATCCATGATGGTTAGAGTAAGCCTCTACGCCGTCGATTGAGATTTTGCAGAGCTGCAATGGAAAGAAGGAAACAGTGAGATGCAAATGTTCTCTGATTATTCACGTCTGTGCAAAACCAT